TCTCTGGGATGATCGCTGTACCTCTCCCCCCACCGCGTGGTAGGGATCAGGGGAGATCCCTGCAGAAACCAAACTAACCCCCCCGCTCCTCCTCCCGCCATGAATTCTCTGGGATGATCGCTGTACCTCTCCCCCCACCGCGTGGCTGGTAACAGGGAAGATCCCTGCCAGCCAAACGCAAAAAGCTCAGGGCCAATTCCCCCCACCTGCGCTTGGCTAACTGCAGGAAAGGATTTCTTTTCAGCCACAGGCAAACAGCCCAGTAGGAACGGCCACCTCTGTCCCCTTAATTAAGTTCCCGTATTTCAACCAGGTTACCATGAGCGATATCACTCTCCTGCGGATTACACAGCAAGATAAAGAACGGATGTTGCTTGAATGCCAGCAAACACCGGGACCATATGCTGCCAGGCTTTGTCAGACAATGATACCAGATTACTTGCTGCAAGCATGGCGTGGTCAAGTGTCCTACCATGGAGGACAGAATAAGGCTGCACTGCCCAGAAACCTTGTGGCAAGGCTTTTGGAGTACCTCCAGGAGAGCTTCATGGAGATGTCCCTGGAGGATTTCCACTCCATCCCCAGACACGTTAACAGATTTTTCCAGTAGCTGTACTGGCCGCGAATGCATCCCAAGTCCTCAGGGCAAAGTAATCATTAAAAAACGCTTGCTTTTAAAACAAGTTTTATATTTTAAAAGGTAAACTCACCTGAGATCCCTTCCATGGGGTCATGGTCTTGGATACTGGGTTGGGAGGGTACTTCAGTCAGGCTGAGAAAAAGATCCTGGCTGTTGGGGAGAACGGAGTGCTGGGTGCTCTTCGCAAGCTCGTCGTCCTCCTCCTCCTCCTCCTCTTCCCCATCCGCAGAATCCTCAGGTGTAGCTGATGAGACTATCCCCGACCCGGAATCCACGGTCACAGGTGGGGTAGTGGTGGCGGCCCCCCCTAGAACTGCATGCAGCTCGTCGTAGAAGCGGCATGTCCGCGGCTCTGACCCGGAGCGACCGTTTGCCTCCTTTGTTTTTTGATAGGCTTGTCTGAGCTCCTTGACTTTCACGCGGCACTGATCTGAGTCCCTATTGTGGCCTCTCTCCATCATGCCCTTGGAGATTTTTTCAAAAGTTTTTGCATTTCGTCTTTTTGAACGAAGTTCTACTAGCACTGAATCCTCTCCCCATATAGCGATCAGATCCAGTACCTCCCGTACGGTCCATGCTGGTGCCCTTTTTCGATTATCGGCCTGCCTGGTTACCTGTGCTGATGAGCTATCTGTGGTCACCTGTGCTCTCCACGCTGGGCAAACAGGAAATGAAATTCAAATGTTCGCGGGGCTTTTCCTGTCTACCTGGCCAGTGCATCCGAGTTCAGATTGCTGTCCAGAGCGGTCACAATGGTGCACTGTGGGATAGCTCCCGGAGGCCAATACCATCGAATTGCGGCCACACTAACCCTAATTCGAAATGATAAAATCGATTTTGGCGCTACTCCGTTCGTCGGGGTGGAGTACAGAAATCGATTTAAAGAGCCCTTTATTTTGAATTAAATGGCTTCGTTGTGTGGATGGGTGCAGGGTTAATTCGATTTAACGCTGCTAAATCCGAATTAAAGTCGTAGTGTAGACCACAAAGCAGAGCAGAGTACGGGCCTTTTGCATCAATCTTGCCAGCAGTGGAAGATGCTGACTCTTGGCAGAGGGCTCATTCAGGGGAAGACATTTCCTCCTGCTGCTTAGCACCAGATTTCTAAATTGACCAAGCAGCTGGGGACAAGGCAAAGAGCCTTGTCTCCTTTCTCCCTGTCCACAACTGGGGGAGCATACCTCAACTTTGCTTGTTACACTCCTATTGCTACGCAGATGTCTTCAGTCACATGCATCAGAGCAGTGCCCCAGCTTCAATCCAGGAGCAAAGCTGGGGTCTGGAAAATCATACATTTAACCTGAAATTACACAAAAATAAAAATTATTTGAAATGCTTTTTAAAAGCATCAGTTGAGATTTTACTAAACTTTTACTATGTTTCAATTGGTGTGATCTCCCTGTAACAAAGTGATATTTAGGGCCCTAGTGAAGATTTGTGGTCAGCATTTTCTACTGGGATGTGACCTTTGACTTTTCTTCAGAATGGCAGTTTACCAACAGTGCTGACCAATCACAATCCATATTACTCAATCCCTCGTTTGTATACAGATTGTGTTCATTTGAGACGTACATGCTGCTCACAAAGGGAGAAATGTGGTAACTCCAGAAATGGTGTGAGAATTCCTAAATGCACAGACTGCTTATAGCCCTTCGTCTTTTCAGCATCTGAGTGAGTAGGATGTGCACCATCATATACTTGTTTCCCTGCTGGTGCTAGGTCCTTACAGAAATGGTAAGAAGGACAATATGGTTTATCCTCCAAAATCTAAAAGAGCTACTCTTTATGTTCTAAAACAGACTGATGACAACTATTTTACTTGTCTACAAGTGGATTGGACATTCCTTTATGTAGATTAGTGAACCTGTGCTGTGAGGAAAGAAGGAATGCTAGTTTTTAATCCTAGTTTCTTACCTGTTTACGAGCGTTTTACCTACCATTATCAGAACATTGTTGGCTCTCCTTGTCATACGGATTCTTAGAGCATGAAGGAACATTGAAGACAGTAGAACAAATTCTTGAGCTACCTATAAATAACCCTGTTCTACTTGGATCTGTGCATATTTTCCCCAGTGTATCCATTGCCTCTTTAATGTGTGTACAGCACAAGATCATATCACTGAGGAAAAGTGGACGACAAGCAAACTATACATTAAAAGAAATTAGTCCAGTACTGCCAATCCCAAAGGTTCAAAATTCATGAGTCAAATCCCCAAAAAATCATGTTGGGGGTCTCTGTGTGTGCGCGCACACGTGTGAGAGAGAGAAGATTAAATTGTGGTTTTTTGGTCTTTTCGATTTTTGAACTGCCTCTGTTTGGCCTCAGTGTGTGTATGACAATTATGGATGCCAACTCTCTGAAATTTATTGAGTAAGGTGATTGTAGCTCTTACTGCAAGAACTCTCACTCCTACATCTGCCAACTAGAGTTGCCAGTTTTGGTGGGACATATTCCTGGAGATTTCATCACATGACAATCTTTAATTCCTGCAGACTCCAGGCCAATCCTAGAGGGTTGGCAACCCTACTGCCAACCCCCAAACCAGTTCTGTCCCCATCCAGTCCCCATGTTAAATCTGCCCCCACATTAGCATGACAAGGTGGGTGAGGTAATATCTTTTATTAGACCAACTTCTTCTGGTAAGAGAGAAAAGCTTTTGAGCTTCTGTGTAAGATCAAAAGCTTTTCTCTCTTACCAGAAGAAGTTGGTGCAATAAAAGATATTACCTCACCCACCTTGTCTCTTTAATATCCTGGGGCCAACATGGCTACAGCAACACTGCATACCACATTAGCATGTCACACCAGTTCTGCCCATATCTCAGCTCTCCCTTCACATCAGTTCTGTACCTCCAGGCCCCTCATCAGTTCAACCCCGACATCAGTTTTACCCATCTCAGCCCCCTCCCATAAATTCTGCCCTCAGATCAATTCAGTATAAAATATGTAAACCATTTCAACAGTTTGTGTTCATTCAGTGTCTTTGTAAAATACTTTGGAATTTTGAACTGGTCACATTTTTTTTTAATTTAAGCAAAGTAAATCCATTCTGGCTCTTTGTCATCTGTTGTACAATCAGAAGAACATCTGTCATTCAGGCAGTACCAGCATTTGAGCCAGTGCACAATGACACAGTTAATTTATCAAACAAATTGTTGCCAAAGCTCCACTGTGGGACAGTGCAGATTAAACAATGTCCTTTTCACTAATGCCTGGCCAGTTCTGACATTCAGCTCCGACACAACAGCAATGAGTTTGTTTCCCAGAGCATAACAAGTGCTGCAGAAAAAGGGACTATGGGCTGCAGAAAAGAAAAACAGCTAGTCAGATTTGGGTCTTCATATGCTAAATGGCCTTATCACAGCAGATTAGTTGGAGCTGATCTTTAACCTCTCTTGAACAATTTGGCATGACCTTTGTTTTAAATACAAGAAGTGGAAATTTCAATTTTTGTGCTCAAAGTAACTCAAGGTTCGGTCAAGGAAAGTATGAAAGCTGCAAAGAGAAGTGTGAGAGAAGCAAGTTAAGGAAGATGGTAGGCTGCCAAAAACGCAGGACAGAGGAGGAAACTCAGGATACCTATGCATCCAAATTTCAACGAAAGGTAATTTAGATTTTTTTCATGTTTTTTCTGCAAATTATAACAAACATACAGGTTATGAATAGAACAAATTAGGAATTATCATTGCAGCCTTAAGAAAAGCAAATACAATCATTAATAAGAGATTTTTTCCATCAGCTCATCTTTATGTCTAGTTGTTGTAGTATGTACTTGATCTTAATAAAGTACAGTATTATTGTAAGATAAATAGTTAAAATAATACTTCCTTGTTGAGGCATTGTACACCAAGTTTATACTTGTAAATGTTAGAATCTCTTGAAAATGCAGGAGTAAAATATTAATAGAATGCAGGCAGATCATAAATTATAGTAGTGTTAGCAAATTTCACTGCCATACTTTGTTTAGAAATGTCTAACCATTATTTTATCATTTTTATATACCATATATCTTTCAGAGCATATGTATATATGCACATGTACACACATTTGGAGTGCGTATAGTTCAGTAATTCTTTTATTTCTTCTATGTATTGGTCTGAATTCAGTCTTGCTGTAACTCCATTATCATCAGGGTTTATACCAGGGATGAATTTGGCCCTTTGTAACTATTCCAGGAATGACTTATCAAACTGTGCTATTTATACCACATTGCAACGCGACTTATTTAAACTAATGTAACCCTTAAAAATGAAACACTTCAAGGAATTTTTAGAAGAATATACCTTTAAAATGAGAATAGATGAAACAACAGGTTTCAGATAAGGATCCTGATGAGATCTATATGCCACCTACTTAGGTGTTATGTTTGTTTCCAAAATATGTTATTCTTCAAGTATAGTTAACTGATTGAATCACCAAAAAGAAGCGTGTATTTTTTCATTTATGTTTGTGTAATATTCTGGTTAAACATCTATATTTAAACTGCAGCAATCTGCCTTTTTAATGGGTCTTCTGTCTGTTAGACACTGTCTTCATACACCACTTTAAAGCACCTGTTAGGGTCAGGCTGAAGAGAAATGGAAATTGAAGTGCAGACATGAAGCCTTAAAGCCATCAGATTCAAACTGTTCCTAACGCAGTAGGCTATCAAGGTGGAAGGTAAAGTTCAAGATGGCACGGTGGCAGACACAGGTTGTTTTTTTTTTTATGGCCTGACTGCATTAGTGACACTGAAAGAGTCAAAGAAGAGTAAGTGTATGGACTGAGCCTGATGAGAACACTTTTTAAAACCCACAGGCAGGCCAAATTCTTATTGCAGTGACATTAAACTAAATCCAAATAACTCCATTGACGTTAATGGGGTGACACTGGATTTACATCACTATAACATAGCAGTTTTCGAACTTTTTGAGCTAAGCTCCCCACCCCTTTGAGTTGCAATGTTTGGTTATGCTCCCCAATACCTACCCCCTTCCCCCTCAGGTTTTTAGGGTGGCGGAAGGTGAGTGCGATGTTCTCTGGGGTCAGAGCATGGGCATGGAGGCATTGATACTGACCCAGAGGCTGAGTGGCCCACTGTGAGTCAGGGGGTGGAGGTAGTGCTCCCTCCCTGAGCCTCCCAGAACGTTGCGCTGTGCCCCCCTCACGGGGCATGTCCCATAGTTTGAAAACCTCTGCTGTAACAGATATCAGAATCTGGCCACCTGCCTATTTAAAACCCTATTCCCATCCAAACCGAGAAGAAAAGTACAAAGTATTATAATATAAATTAAATAGGGAAGACAAGCCAGAGCAAACTCACCTGAGAATGAACATTTACATTATTATAATGTCTAACAATTAATTCTAGTGCCAATGGCTTTCAAAGCATGTAGTTATTGCCACAGCATGAAAGTCTCTGTTTTAACCACTTTCAGCACTCTCGCGCTACAGTTTCACAAAAATGAACAATGAATATATAAGCAGCACATTATTGCAGAGAGGCTGTTACAATCCAAGCCCTGGCTGAAGATCAAATACACACCCACTGGTGAACTAGAAATAGATGTGAGTTCTGAGCTAGCTTAGTATCTGTGTGTTCACTAATTCAAGTTTTTTCAGTAGATAAAAGGAGATCATCATGAGAAAACATATAGTTTCAAATAACATTTCAAATAATTAGTAGCTTAGGGTGTGTGTGTGCGTGTGCGTGCGCGCGCGCCATCATTCCCTTGTAGATCTTAGAGTAGAATCAGGGTCAAATTTATCAAAACAAAAACTTAAACACTGAATTGCTTTCACCATTTATATATGGTTACTCCTTTGCATTTCAACCAATTTGGACAGTGAGACGACACAAGCCAAATTTCATTCTTGCCTACAGTCACTTGAACTTTCTAGTTCATACTTAGAGATATTGGTATTTTTTAAACAACATTTGGCCTAATGACAATAGATTATTTTATTTATTCAAAAATTCTTCCCATGCTAAAACTGGAAAAAGAAAATGATGAATCCGACTCCACCTTTCCCTCTGCTTGCCAAACCTTATGTATAACCTCCCCAACCTTCACACTTTAGCTAGGCTTGCAAACCTCTTCATATGTCTGTCTTCCTCCCTTCCCATCAGGATCATGGTTTGCTTTATCTACATTGTATCAGCCTCTTGCTGCAGCCTTTTCTTTGTGAAACTGTCTTCCCAATGTGGCTATGCTCCAGGGTAGTGTCTCGGACCATGTTTGTTTTGTTTTTTATTCTATTCTCAGGATCCCCATGCCCTCTCTTGATGTTTAGAGAAGACCATTTCTGCAAATTCTAGGGCATAACTCCTTTGATTTGTCCAAAGGTGGGATGTACCAGTGTGGCATACCAGCCCATATTAGCTCACTTCAAATACAGATGTGAAATCCACAAGAATACCAACACTGTGTTTGTACATGAGAGCCAGGAAGTGAAAATTGTCTAGTTTCATTGTCCATTCTGAGTAAAATGCAAAAAATAAACTATAAAAATAGTCCTGGAACTTTCATGACGTTACTGTGAGTATACTTGGATGAGGCCAGCAAAGCTTTATTAAAATAATATATCATCAGTGTAGAAGGTTATAATGTTGCGTGCATACTTAAAGCATAGTGTTGGATAGGAATGTATATTAGACTAAAATTTTGTCTTACATTTAGTATTTGCGAGCTGGAAATTGTACTGTTCCTTCCCATCTCCCACAGCACCACTATATAGTAGTAATAGACAGTCTCTTGTGCTCTACCTTTGGCCTTGTCTACACACAAAGTTGAGAAGCTCAGGCCTTTCTGCTCACTGAATGAGGCAAAGTCTTGTGGAAATATAGTATAGTGCCATACATAACATAGTATTGATCACGTAATTAAAAACCATCATAATACATACTCACAGGGGAGCCAACTTAAGGTTGTACAGGCAGCCTTAATTCTGGCATTTCCTAACTTTTTGGGTGCTTGACTTTGCAACCTTAATAAATGTCCTTTTAGCATAGCTTTTGTGTGTAATTTTGTGTTTATTAAACTGTAAACTGAGAAAAAAACCTTTCATGCCATCATATTGACGCTATCTGGTTCTTCAGCTGGGTTAGAACATTTATATCCACCACAAAGACCTTTGCCACATGAGCTACAGGAGTAACTGATAGCAATAGTAGGTTGTCATCTGCTATGTGGACCACCACTAGAAAGGGAAGAGGAACACACTTAGCTAGTAGTTTTCACAAATATATTCAGATAGCAGATACATGCTGAGACTCAGGAATCTTGGATTTCATTCCAGGCTCTATGCTGAAGTGGGCACAGACTCTTCTGCCCAGGTTCCCCCACACTTGACTCCTTCTGCCCCATCCCCTAAAACCCATCCCTGCCCCATTCCAGTCTCTTCTCAATTCCAGTGCCCAGCCCTACCCCAGGTCAGAGCAGCTCTTTGGGAATGACACACACACAGTCCAATCAGCACTAGGAGCTATGAAAGTCTCAAGCATACTCATTAAGAGTGAACTGTTAAGAGATTTTAGCAGCTAAAACCTAAAAAGTCTCTACTGAGCAGGTATAAATAGTGACTTTTCAAAGGTTTATAAGTTGCCCAAATTTGGGTGGATTTGCATGAGGATGGCAAAAGATACCTCCCCGACACAAATTTTCAGTCTTTGCTCCAAAGTGGGGGTGGGAGGGGTGGGGGGGTCCTAGAGCATTTCAGAGAAAAGGTCTCCAGATTTAACATGGGTAAACCAACATATTAGAGCCTAGCCTTGTTCTTGGAAACTGCTAAATGATTTTAGCTGAATTTTTTCAAAAACACTGCGCCTGATGCAGACACCAGGCTTGGGAAATTTCAGCCCAAATGGTTAAAGATTGGAAAAATTATAAGCAACTGAAAACAGGGTCTTATAATAGGAAGTGTCAGGCAACCTTAATAATAGACTATGCTATGTAGATTTTATGAGTACAGTTGTTGTTGATCCTTTGAGTTCAAAGATGACCATGACATCACTGATTGATTTGGTTTTGTTGATTTGGTTTTTTTGAACACCTGAGTGGGTGATCAGACCAATTTGAGCTTTGAATTGTCTGTGGCACACTGAATAAGAGATGCCACTATGGGTTACTTGATTAATAGCAGACATGCTGCTGCTGTGAGATTCACGTTGCTGGCACTTCTGCTCTGCCTCAGTATTTCTCCTCTGCTCATAGACTGTAGCTCCAATATGGATGAGACTTCACTAGGTAGAACAATCATGAGTGAAATATTCCCAAAACTGTGTCAATGTTGAAATGCCTCCAGGATAATTTGAGGGAGTCTTTGAAAGGTTTCCTCTGGCCTCTCTGAAAGTGCTTTCCCTCCTTTAGCATGCCACAAAAGATTTTCTCTGACAGTCACTCAACTGACATTCTGGTGACATGGCCTGCCCATCTCATCTGTGATTTCATACATACACACACACACACACACACACACACAAACACATCACATGTTTTTTAAATAAAAAATGTATCTATTCCCTTCCCAGGTTATTTCACAAGTTTATAACAGTAAGTAAGCAAGTTTTATGTGAGCATCACAGCAAAGATGGCCCTTCAGGAGGGGAACTTGAATGCAGCAGGG